CTCCTTTTATCTTTAAAATAAAAAAAATAAATAAATAAATCCCCAGCCCCTGTGAAGCCTTTATACATTTCGCCAGCAGTGCTTACTACAGCTGCTAGCAACCTGGATGATCGTGCAGCCAATTGATTAAAACTACATGACTGCTCCAGAGTAATTTAAATGATACTAAATATTCCTTTTATATTGATCTGTGCGTAAAATGTTCTTGTCCAAAATTTGTGTGAGGTACTTTTATTATTTTAAAAATTCCCACTCCTCAGTTTTCATCTGATATCAATAAATTGTCTTTAAGAACTGCCCTTTTATTTTAGAAAATTAGGTGTACAGTCTTTCCCGTGAGCAATCTGTTATACTGTGTGACTCTTTTGGAGGTTGGCTTATATATTAGAAGAATTTGAAACTAACACAAATATATTTTCAAAAGGAGATATAGTCTTGGCTTTGCCACCAGTTAGCTATATAGCTAATCCGTGGGAAAATTCTTTCTGTTTCTCTGAATTTCAGTATTCTTGTCTTCAAAGTAAGGATCTGAATTTTATAATCACTTCAGGTCCAGGCTAGTTCTAATAATCTTTAATTATTTAAAAAATGCCATTGTGGTAATGCCTCCATTGGTGATAAAGAGAATAAACAAAACCATAAAAACCCTTACAGAGGGATATTCAGACTGAGAGGAGAAAAGGACGATTTGGAAGTGCTAAATCAAGAGAAGAATTACAAAATCCATTGCTGTTTACCTGGGGTTTGTTAATTCTGATGATATAAAGTTAACTATGCTAGTTTATTAGTTTTTAATACCCAGAAATGTGTTCCGTAGTTAAAGTGAGCCATTTTCTAAATGTGAGCTAAAATATACTATATTAAAATATTGTATTCATTTTCTGGGAAACTGTATAGAGAAGTCATATAGACTTACAGTATGTATGATAATAACTTATGCCTATGCATTTGGCTTGAAGGGTCTCACACGTCTATCTCAGAGCCTAGTGGAAAAGGGTCAGACATAGTTGTCTAGATAGATGTCCCTGTCCGCTCTGTGTTGATTTTCTCATCATGGACCTTACAGACTGCTTATCTACAATCGTTTTGTACTTTTTCACATTGATCAAACTGAGTAAGATTTACTTTTCCATGTACTATGTATAGGCACTGGGAAACAATAAGAACCCATCTCTTGCCCCTAGGGGGCCTGCCGTCTAGTAGATGACATAGACATGTAGACAAATTGCGTTGTAATTTTGTGTATCATGAAATAGTAGACCTGTACTTCTAGCACAGGATGAGTTGAATAACATTACTTGCATGATTCAAAGGGCAGGAAAGGTTAGAGGTGATGCCGGGTGAGGGCTTTGAAGGACAGGTGAGAATTTCCCATGCACCATCGCTGGCGCTGGGTGGGATTAGGGAGGGATGCTGGGTGTGGGAGGCACTCCAGCAGGCGGGGGGTTGTAGTGAGAAGATCCCAAGCGCTTGATTGTTATTGGAGCGGGATGTGTCTGTGGGAGCCGTCAGAAGAGGGAGCTAGATTGTGAGAACCTTGCCTGCGACGTGGAGCCATGAAAGGATTTTACTCAGAGGACTCGCTAGAGTCTTTGAAAGCAGCACAAGCTTGGGGCCCCGAGCTGTGCTTGCGGTTCAGTGGTTCAGTAGCATCCTCTATTCCAGACTTTCCAAAGGGGAGGCACGCTTTGGTCTCTATTTTATACCCCTTTGTGTGATATTCCCAGATCATAGCAGCCTAAATTACAGACAAAATATAAAGGGGCAGAATCAGAATTTACTGAATCTCATTTTTGTCTCCATGCCCTGACCCTCTCTATTCCCAGTGGCTATGACACACCCCCTCCTCGCAACCTGTCTTAGCAATAGAAGATGGGGGTTGTGCCTGCCTCACGGGGCTCATACATAGTTCAGTGATCTTAGTGAGCCAGGAGTTGGGGGAGGAGTGGAGGGCATTGTTTTGTCTCATACTAACAAGTCTCTTTCCTGTTTCTTTAGCAGGGAGGGTGTGTATGAAATCAGCCTGTCACCTACAGGCATCTCTAGGTAAGTGAACCCTCAGCAGAAGGGGACTGAAACTGTCATCAAGTTAGACTGCTGTCTTACTTGAAATAGGAAATTTCTTCCTTTAAGTTCTAACAGAATAAGGATCTGCTAATGTCTTTCTAGCATCAAATAATTTTCACAGCCTCTCTATCAGCCATAATAACTATTGCTACCCTAGTTTCTCAGATGAGGAAGTGAGGCCTAGAGAGATCAAGTGCCTTATCCTGCTGAACATAGGAACTTAATATTACAGTTGGATCTGGCCTTGGCTTCTATACTCTTAGTGCTGCATTACATTATTATTTTGCATTTTATTAATTGTGTATATTAATTATATAGTAGTACAGTGTTACCTTAGGGCAGAGTTCAGTAAAGTTAAAGCATATATTAGGCATTAGCCATTATTTTCAAAGCCTTACCTTAATGCATGAGTGTACTAATTTTTCACTATAAAGTAATGAGATATTTAAGACAGTATATTAGAACTTACACATCCAGTCAATTTCTTAAAACAAAGCTTCCATAAAGTCTATTGAGGGAGGTTGAACCCAGGGCCTTTGCACTGAGCTTCATCTCCAACCCACCACCCACACTTCTATTGTGGTGTTTCATTTTGAGACAGGTCTCACTGAGTCACTGAATTGCCCAGACTGGGCTCAAACTTGTGATCCTGTTGCCTCATCCCCCCTGCCCCACAGAACATGTAAGGCTTTATGAAGATCACTGGTGCTGCCATTGCTGTAATCCTTTTGGGACCCTGCCTTTAAAGCGAGGTTAGCAGCCACATGAGTCCAGTTGCACCATTTGGATGACACCTCATTGTTACCAGCTATGGTGTCAGGGGAGCTTTGGCCCTTTCAGAAAATCATGTGTGTCTTCAGAATGAAGACTGCTACCACCTGCTATCTGAGAGAATGTCTGGTGGGTTTTCAGAACATCTTCAGAAAGATGTCCAGAATGATTTTGAGCTAAATTGGCACTGTTGAAATAAGCAGCATATTCAGTGAGGGAAGAACCCTCATTGGGATGTGTTTATTTTGATGCAGTCATATCAATGATCTGTCTTTCTCTAGAATTAGCATAGTATCCAAAGGCTACCAATAGTTAAAATTTTTGTTTTTCTATTCTGTTTATTCTGCAAATACCTTATGAGATAGGTGTCATCTTTGGGTTACAGATGAGAAGAACAAAAGTTGAGGGAAGTTAAATAATTTGCCCCATGTTTCACCGCTGAGCCCTGCTAGTAATTTCTGTCTCTTTAGTTCTTGGTCGTGTTGCTTGATACTACTCACATTCTCAAGTCAGAATTGAACTAGAGTCTGTAAAGCTGTCATGCGTCCTTTACCCATCATTGCCTCTTTGTCTGGACATGGAAGGACTTTATTTTACACCCAGGCCTTTATAACTGGGCAATGTTAAGTTCTGTTGCTGGGGGAGGTGGAAAGATGATTTTCTTGGCCCTTTAGAGGAAGACCCAGGTGAACATGCTCTTCTGGGAGTTGATCTAACCCTTGATGGCGAACCTTTCAGAGCTTTCAGTGATACAGACAGCACACTGGCGGTGCATGTGCCATAGATTCACCACCACTGGGGTAACCCATTCTTTCGGTGATCTTTAGTGAATGTTTCTTTCTGCATCAAGGGTGCGTTTGTATCCTGGCTTTATCGACTCAAAGGAAGCTGACTGGGTATTGGAACAGCTGTGTCGGGACGTTCCCTGGAAACAGCGGATGGGCAGCAGAGGGGGTAAGCAATCGCTGAGGCTGCCATGGTCGCTGCCTGGCCTTCCTCTCACCATGCCTTCTATTGCCACTGTGGTGCTCATCACAGCCTTCTTAGCAGATTCAAACCCTAAGGCCCCGAGGAGGAGCAGAGGCAGCCAGGCATAGGGGGCGGGAAGAGTCTGTCAGGCCGAGGTAGCGGCCAGTGGAAGGCCCAGAGATGAGGCAGGCCCTGACTGAGTGGAGAGGTGAGTTCAGGGGCCCAGAGGAAGCTGGGGTGGCTGCAGTGTGGTTGGCAGACTCACCTTGCTTATGTTTACTTACTGCTTCTTCCACCGCCAGTGGTGCCAGCTTCCCCCTTTCTTCTAGAAGCTTCCAGAGCTTTCTTTTTTCTGATGTTATTTGGCGTATATTCTTTTACAGTCCTTTTTTACTGACTTTTGTTCTGATTTTACTTTCATCAGAAGAGTCGCTATCCTTTAATTTCAGTCTCTACTCTCTAGCTTGTAAAGGTGAACCATTTACTGGCTTGTTTGGATCCTGCTCCTTCCTCTGCCGCTGGCGTCCAGGAGCCAGCAGTGCCTGGTATTCCACAGGTGGCCACTGAGGGGCGCCTGGGCTCTAGCATAGAATTTCCTTCTTGGCCGGTTTTCTTGTGAAGGAAAAGGCAATGCATATTGGCTTCATGTTTGTCACTCATCAGAACAGGAATCAGCTTTTTCAGGGAAACCTCCCAACTCCCAAGAGTTTCCACAGTTGGAAATGTTTTTTGCTTGTTCTCTCATTCAAAGTAATTATTAAATTTAAGCACATTACTGTTGAGTAGCTTTCTAATCCTTGGTTTTCTTACCTTTAAAATTGAGCTAATAAAAACCTCTCTTCTGCTGTGTTAATTGAATGAAGTAATGCATGATAAGTGCTTAACCGAACAACACATTCATAGCAAGCACTCAATGAATGTTAGCTGCTTTATTTTTATTTGTATTTTTTGTTCTTGTTTTGGTGCTGGGGCTTGAACCCAGAACCTTATATATGCTAAGGACATGCTGTACCCCTGAGCTACATCCCCAGCCCTGCTTTTTATTATTATTGTTCCTCTCGTTCTAACTGCTTGTGGGAAAAATAGCAGATCTATGGGTAATACCTTCTCTAAATAAATTTAGAGGTCAAAACCTTCTGAGTAAAGTCAGCTGCAGAAGCCCTTTTGATTCCAGATGAGGAAAGTGTTCTGACCCGAGGAGGAGCAGAACAGCTGGTCAGAACACTTTCCTTCATTTGGGATCAAAAGGGCTTCTGCAGCGTTGGGCACATGGTGAAGTTTGCCTCCCTCTTTGTAGGGATGTTGGTGCCACAGATTCCTACCTGCAGGGGCCTGGGCTCCACAGTCTGTTTTTTAAGACTTTTTAAAAATAAATAAGTCACCTACACTCTCATCTCAGAAGCTCTGCCTAGGCTGTTTCTGCCTTTTGTTTTCTTCATAGGGTCCTTAACCGTTCTGCCAGCCCTTCTCCTCTCTGAAGGTGGAGCCTGGGGGCAGAGCCCTTGTCTTGGTCACTTTCCTTGTTGCTGAGCCATAATCCTGGACACGTAAGGGAGGAGAGGTTTATTTGGGCTCATGCTGTAGAAGATTCAGTCTTGGCGGGGTCTGCAGCGTTGTAGGAGGGCCTAAGCAGAGGAGAGCTGTTCCTGTGATAGCACCCAGGAAATAGGGAGTAAAGGGAGGAGCGCTAGGGGGAGACACACCTTTCCAGGCCATGCCTCCAGGGACCGCTGCCTCCGAACACCCCACATCCAGTTTCCTTTCAAAGCCCTGCCTTTGAGCACATGAGATGTTGAGGGATATTTGGACATAAACAGTAACACCCATCTTTCCTCTTCCCACGTATTTCTCCTGGCTTCTTGGCATTGCAAGGCACAGAGTTGGGCCATAGTGGTACATCTTAAAGGCGCCACACTGTCTCAAGAGCCCTGTTTTTCTTTCTTAGATGTAACTTATCTGCAACCAAGACTTACAGCATGGTATGGAGAACTTCCTTACACTTACTCGAGAGTCACTATGGAACCAAATCCTCACGTATGTTGAAATATTGTCCGTGGTGCGGTTTTATAGATGATAGAAGTGTAAAGCGCTATAAACTAACAGTAAGACCTGGCAGAGGTACTTGATGGTTCCTAGTTCAAAATAGTCCTCTGGGCTCAAGCGCTGAGGTTTTGTGCTTCTCATCCTTCATGTCTTTGATCCACAGAAGAACTCAGAGTGAAACAGAACACGGGAACTAGAGTCCAGGGTTTAGGGGATGTGACTTTTTCCTGAGATGTCCCTTTCCAAGCTTTTCTGTCCCTGCCCCTCCGCTGCACACCCTGGTACTCTTTTATTTCCTGTGTGGCTGCATCCTTATGGCTGGTCAGTAAGCAGAAAGTCAGAATGTCTTTCCATTTCTCAGGCTCTTTTACTATTTGCCACTGCCAAGCTGGGGTTTTTTTCCCCTTAATTTTGGTTCATTTTATGGCTACATTTCTCAGACTGGTGCTTATTACCACTTGGTTTATTTCTACTGCTTCTTTTATTTTTAAAAATTTCCATGACAGTGGACGAGGATATTTTAGCGTTCAAATTAAGCTTGTCCAGAGGATGGAATTGAGGTCCAAGAAATAGCTCCCTGTTTAGTTCCTGGAATCGTGCCTTTGGCAGATAATGCCACGCTCTATGGAAAGAGACTTTGAAGAAAATGGAGTTTTGCTTAGGGCATTTGGATAAACAGAACTGTGACATATTTTAGAGCTTCTAGTAGTATGTGAGCACAAACTACCTCTTTACTAAAATGCGCAGGGATCAAACATTGCCTGGGTGCACATGGCTTTTTCATATAAGGACAAATGCTTTGGTGTCTAGGGCTGCATTTAGGGAAGTATTGAGACCGTTTGTATCAGAGGTTGATTTGTAAACAGACAGAATTGCACTTGGCCAGTTCAGTGTAGACTACTGCCTTGCTCCTGTCAGATTTAATTTACCTTTCTGTCATAGCTCTAGCAGAGAGGCTGAGGATTAAATCAGCTGCAGGGAAGAAGTTCTTCTCTGTTCATCGTAGTTCATCTCCTAGAAAGATTCCTCTCCCTCAGCACAGTTGACACTTGGGGTTGGCTAGCTCTGTCGTGGGGCTGTCCTGTGTGGTGTGGGATTCTTAGCAGTTCCATGGCCTCTACATGCCAGAGCTAGGAGCCAGCAGCACTTTTCACAGTCAGAGCAGCCCAGAATGACTCAGATATTGCCACTTCTCTGCCGAGGCACAGTTGCCCCTGGTTAAGAACCGTCATCTGACAGTAAATGCAAGCCACAGAGCTTGCTCAGTAAAGCACCTCCTTATTGTCTTCCATTTTGGAGACATTTGATTACTCCTCAAAAGAATCGTTTTCTTTTTCTTTTTCTTGTTGCAGTTTTGGGGACTGAACCCAGGACTTTCACACTGAGCCATATCCCCAGCCCTTTTTTATTTTATCTCAAGATTGGGTCTTGCTAAGTCTTTAAATTACCCAGGCTGGGGGCTGGGGATTTAGCTCAGCGGCAAAAGCGCCTGCCTGGCAAGCGCAAGGTCGTGAGTTCGGTTCCCAGTACCAGAGAAAAACCAAAAAAAATAAAAAATAAAAAAAATAAATTACCCAGGCTGGGCTTGAACTTGTGATCCTTCTGCCTCAGCCTCCCAGAGTTTGGGATTACATGTCTGTGTGACCCCACCTGGCAAAAATGTTTTATAATGTGCTCTTTTTCAATAATGTAATACACACTTAGTATCAGAAATTTAGAAACTGCAGATAAACATAAAGATATTAATATTTTGGGTAATTCTTCCACTTGATATTTTAGTTTTGATCATTTTTAATTTAGGCAAAGACATACAGTTTTTTCTATAAAAATAAAATTATGTATAGTATGTTTTGCTCAACTGTATACATTACCGGGCTTTAGTATTATTAAATATTCTTCTACAATATTATAATAGTTGTATAGTATCCCATAATGTACATGTATCATAATTTATTCAGGCAAGTCCCTTTTGTTGAATATTAAATTTTTCAAATTAGAGTTCTTTAACTTGGAGTTTGTGTTTGCTGCTGATGGATTAGTTCATTTGTATACTACTTTCAACAAAATATTTTTTAAAAGGAAGATTCACTAATGTGTGTATATGTTGGGAGTACTTTTTTAATTTTAAAATTGTTGTGCCTGGCATGGTAGTACACATCTGTAATCCTAGCTACTCGGGAGGCAGAAGCAGGAGAATCACAAATTTGAGCCCACCCTGGACAACTTAGTGATTTAGTAAAACCCAGTCTCAAAATAAATAAAAAGAACTGGGGTTGTAGGTCAGCAAGAAGGCCCTGGATTAAAAATGAAAACAGAAGTTACTGCCTTGAGCTTAATATCCAATACACCAGAATCAGGTTCAACCATAGATTTTTAAAACATGTTTCAGTCTTTGTTAAAATTATATCTTACGTGAACTCAGTATATAAACAAGATCAAATCCTTGACTGGCTGCGAGGGTCACCAACGTGACCCCCTTTCTCCTATAGTAGGCGTCGGTAGTATCTAGGACTCTAGAAGCCCACTCTGAGATCTTTGACTTTGGTGATTGATATTTTCTCATACTCTTCCTCAAATGTCTTTTAAGGATAGAATATCTTCACTGAACAGAGATGACGCTGGATTTTAATTTAGACATTCAGTTCTGAAGGATCTATATAGAGTATTGGTTAGAGAGTCTAAATTAATCCTCTAGTTCATTATCCCCTTTTTTCTTCTTTTCTCCGGTTCACTACCAAAAATAACTAAGAAAAAACACATACCCACTTAGAATGCAAACTTGATGTTATCACCGTGCTCAGCCCCTGAGCAAGGCAGGGAAGTGCTAATTAGATTCTCAGCCGCATTATAGAGAAGCTACCTTCCTCCTTTACATTCTTGTCAAGGGTATAAACCTAGCATCTGATCTTGAGCTCCATGAACATTTAAAGCTGTAAAATAAATAGGAAATGCAGCCTGCTGACATTATTATTGGAGTTTCATTTTAGAATTTGCTCTCTTGAGCATGGGTTAGTTTAATGACATTTTGGTTTTATTGATCTAAGCTTTGTTTGTTGTTGTCCTTGTTTATTTTTTTTAAATCTGCTTGGAAGGTAGTGCTCAGCCTCACAAGCAGGCTCAGCTTTGACCGTGGTGAGGGATGCACACATGTGCTTCCCTGGTGCTCTTACCCGATGTGGGCTGTACTTGAAAATATTCAGCTTTCCTTTGTTGTCCATCCATGCGCCATTATGAAACACAGAACACAGGCATTTGAAGAGTTCCCTAAAGTACCGATTCTCAGCCCCCTCTATAGCCTGTGGGGCCTGGGATGTGTGTGTGTGTGTGTGTGTCCACAGTCTGTTTCCATAGTACTGAGTAGGTGACATTTTCACCTTATCGAGTTTGCACCGATGGTACCAAAGTGCGAATGGATAAAACTTCTGGCGTCTTAGCATATATCAAGGCACTGTCACCTGGCCTAGCAGTCACTGTGCTCTCCACCACCGTATGCTTCCAGTTTTAAAAAGTAAAACATGCTGATTTCATCTCAGAATGTCCCGTGACAAAGCTGTAAACATTATTCGTTTTATTAAATCTTTCCCTTTGATTACGTGTCTTCTTAATAGTTGGTTTAATGAAATTGAAAGTGCACAGAGCACCTCCGCTGGAAACCAGAATGTGGCTGTTGGGGCTGCAAGCTAGGCCAGCTCCTTCTTCACTATTGTCGCTTAGAAGAACAGCTGGCAGATTGGTTACTCAGACCTGAGTGTTGGGTCGATATTTTCTTGTAAATAGAGTTGTGTCACTTCAAGGAAGATGGTGGATGGGATTGTTGCTAATGATAAAATTGTTTTCAGATACTTCAATAAAAACAACATATTTTTTTAACAGATTGAATGCATATAAAATTCAGCTCTCAAGTCAGGCATTGAAAAGATCTATAAAACAGTGCTTTTTCCATCAACCTTTTTACTAAAAATTTTTCCCAAAAGGAACATTTATGTTAACATATCGTAGGTTTGTTACTGAATTTTAAATGAGTTAGCCAGCAGTTTATATTTTTCAATCTTAATTTTTAATATGGAAGTAATCTATAGCTATAATCCCTATATACCAAAGCCCTTGGAGGGCCTCAGTAATTTCAGTCGTGTAAAGTTTGAAAATGACTGTCCTAGAGTGTTTATAAAGCACCCAAAAAAGTTCTGGTGAGACAGAATTCTAGCAACAACAAAAAAGCTGGGCTGACTGTAGCTCCCAGGTACAACCGAAGGTCAGCAGTCACAGCTTCCTGTTGTATATGTGACCGGGCTTTTCCAATCACAAACTACTTCAGTCAGTGGGATGCTCAGCACCTGCGCTGCGGAATCAGTCTTCTGTAGTTTACACTCCTTAAATTGTTAAGAACATTTGTTGGAAAAGAATATTTTGCCCTGCAGTTTCTGTCTTTAGGAAGTGGCCACTTGAAGGATTAAATGTCTTTTTTAAAAAAGCAATTCTATAGGGGCTGGGAGAGCTCAGTGGTAGAGCACTTGCCCAGCATGTGTGAAGTCCTGAGTTCTGTCCCCAGCACCTCAGAAAAAAAGCAGTTCACCACTGAAGTTTGAAGTAGGAATTGAATGGAGGGGCATTAGGAGGAAAGTTCTTTCAGACTTAATTCTGTCCACTGCCACCTGAAGCCACAGGTCAGCTTCCCTGCTTTGCTTACCACCTTAATGACATCCGAGGATGACTGTCCTGGGTGTATTAATGTCTTCTTCTACGTTTACCAGAAAAAGATGCGATGGATAGACAGGCCTTGGGCCTCTTGACATTGCTCTACCAGATGTAGTACTCTTATAAGATGACAGAGGTTAAAGGCTTCAAAACAAATGCAGGGAGCGAACACTCTTTCTGCTGTGTGTTCATTGCTTTCTAAGTGATTTGCTTATCCCATGCCTCAGTTATAACTTCACTGGTTTTGCCTTCTCTCTGCTTCCATGTGGGTCTCTTGTGGCCTCTGCCCTTCCTCGGCCTGCTGACTGCAGTGGCACCCTGTGCTGCGCACACTGAAGCACCGCATTGAAGACAACACCGGCCACACCTTTAACTCCGTGCTCTGCAATCTCTACCGCGACGAGAAGGACAGCGTGGACTGGCACAGTGACGACGAGCCCGCGCTCGGGAGGTGGCCCGCCATCGCTTCGCTCAGCTTCGGTGCCACACGCGCTTTTGAGATGAGGAAGAAGCCCCCGCCTGTGAGTATTCTTTGTCCTTGTGCTCTTCCTGCTTCCTATTCTATGAAGAAAGCAGTGTTCCTGCGAGCTCCTATTTGCAGGCACGGAGGACAGGAGAATGCACGTTACTAATGAAACATTCTTCGCTGGTTGCGCGCCCCGTTGTGAACTGTTTGGCTGCCAAAGTACCCATTCATACACTGACTTAACCAACAGGAATGGCCTTCCCTGTGCCACAGTCTGGGCTTGTTTCCGTTGGTGGAAAGGGCAGAGACTGTCGTGCAGAGACACCTGTGGGGTGGACAGCTGTGGCTGATGCTTACAGAAGGGTCCCACAAGGTAGAGGGAGTGAGACAAGCGTCAGGAGGGAGGCCTTCGAAGAAGCCTTCCGTTTCAAGTGCTCTTCCTGGGAGCATGGCCTCCTTTCTGTGAGGGGGCACCCCTTGCAGCCTTGTTCTTCTAAATCTTCTGAAAGACAGATGGACCCAAGGCTTCTTCAGAGGAAACTCCAGCGAGATCAGCAGAGGTGATGATCCACCCATGTTCCAGTGGAAAAGCAGCCACTAAATGGTGTAATGATTTTGGTTTTTCACCCCAGCTCTTTCCTAGCTTTTACATGACATGTGAGGTATACTAGGGCTATTAATTTTTTTACTGGCTTTCTCTGTTCTCTTTCATTCTGGGGATCAAGCCCAAGGCTTCCTGCATGCTCAGCACACACTCTACCCGAGTTGCCCTCCCAGCCCTAATTGTTTTAAATCAAAACTGTGGAGCCTTCAGCTGGGAAGATGGGTAGTAGGAACTCCCAAGAAAACAGCAGAGCAAACTTCCACAAGATTATCTTATTTCCAAGGTCTGTGTCATTTTCCAAGCAAGGCTCCTGATTAGTCATCTTGTATCATTAAACCAGATTCGATAAGTGTGGAAGGCCAGCAGGCTGTATTATGGATATGACCTAATTCAGGCCACATCATTATTAGTCAGCGCTTGTGTCTGTTTTTCATCAGATGCACTTCTCTGAGAATGCAATTAATGGACCTGGGCTGCTTCCTAGAGGCCCATTTGGTTTTCCAGGCATGGTATTTTGAAGCATATTGAGTTATTTTGCATATGTGCCATTAAACACTGGTTGCTGGCATCATTTCCATTGATTAGGTTTCCTTTGCCTTTGTTTACACAGAAACTTTGGTCATTGTTGTTGGGGAATTGTTAGTTGCCAGTGTCTTATTAAGTTAACTTGCTCCCTGAGCACTGTAGCTTTCCCGGGGCCCTTGGCAGGCAGCCCGCTCGTGCGCCGAGGAGTACAACCTGGGAGTCAGACCACCCAGCCACTGCTCTATTACTTTTAGGTACGGTGCTCTCGTACACAGGTACTCTTTCATTAAATCCCAAGTTCACACATGTGCAGAATTCATCTTGCCCTTAGTAAAGACTCCTGCTTTATGAATTGCAGAGAGACATCGTGTGTCTCGTTATTTACGCTCAGACCTTCTTCCCAAGCCAGCATGTGGAACACCTGCTCGCTGCCGGGCGTGGTTCTGGAGCTGGGGCTGCAGCAGTGCATGAGAAAGCTGAAGCCCCCTTTCTCCTCCTGGACCCCAGCGACACATACTGGTTCCTCGTCGCCCTCCCGAGTTCTCTTTCGAGGTTCTGACTGGCACGCACCTATAGGATATGTCGTCTTCGGACCAGTCCTGCTCTTTAGTTCTTCACAGTTATTTTGTTTGTTGCTAAGTATTTAAGTCTTATTACAGTTTCTTTCATACATATAGTCACCACCAACAACAACCCTTTGGGAAAAAAAATGGGGGGCCTATTTATAGAATGGAGCTTAAAATTCTCAAAGTATGCTTCCCGGGTAGTTTACTATATAAGCAGTTTCCAACTACTAAACATAAACAGTGTTCGGTTGCCCAGAAATACCCGATTCCTTCCCCCTCCAGGAAACAGAAGCTCTTTATTTGCTCATATAAAAACCTAACTCGTGTGGTGCACACCTGTCAGGCCAGTACTCTGCGGGGCTAAGGCAGGACAGTCACATGTTTGAGCCCACCCAGGGCAACTCAGTGAGCCGCTGTCTCAAAATAATAAAAAAGGACTTTGGCTTAGTGTAAAGGCTCTGGGTTCAACCCCCAGTATCTCAAAACAAAGCAAAGCAAAACAAAACAAAACAACAAAACAAAAACAACCTAGATCTTTGTCCTGCATTTGTTATGTTGTAGGTTGATGCGTGAGCACAACATACAGCATTCTGGTTTTTGTTTTGTTTTTACGTGCAGCATTCTTTCTGTGGTCACCTGTTTGGAACAAAATCTGTGTTCAGTCTTCTTCAAGGCTGTTTTGATAAACATAGTGGAAGCACAGGCCGTGAAACACTCAACCTGGTCACGGCCCCACAGTCTGCCAGCAGCAGGGAGTCTGCACTGTAGCTGTGGAAGCTGATTTGATGGAAATCTAGGTCTGATAAGTAGGGACGTTTGTTTGAGGTCTTAAAGTTGGCTGAGGAAATGGGCTTGGGAAGAAATATAAACATGTCAGTACCATAAGCTCTTGGCTCTAAAATTTTGGCTTCTGGCCTCATGTTAACTATGATTGAATTTGATGCAGTTTTTGTGTACCTTGTCAATTCTAACTTTTGTTACAGATGGGGAAATTGAATGTTAACATGTCTGAAATAGTAAGCACACATTAATGAATACAGCTTAGAAGTTCCATTCTTGGGTAAACAGGACACAAGTTTAAACTTCTGAAAAGAGTCCTTTAGCTTTCACTGCCAGATCCCAAAGATCTGGGGTTCTATAAATATAACTAAACTAGTGACACAGAAGTCTTTCGTTGATAGCCATGGAAATATTTCTTAGGGTAGAAATCTTTATCTTATTATAAACAGTGCTTTTTCTGAAGGATGAAGGGAGATAGTTATTGCCAATCTTTGTCAACTTTTTCTAAACTCGGAGAACGTGACTGGTGATTCATACAACCCAAAGTAAAAGTATAAATTCAAAGGCATAAATTAGGTTAATCTGTGTGGGATTTGTAGTCTGTGACTCTTGGATCTGTGTCTCAGAATGCCACTACAGACTGCAATTTTCATGTCTGTCAACAAGACATTTGAGGTATGTTAAAGGTTGTAGGAGGGAATCCTTAAAACTCCTAGCTTTGACCTGTCTCCCTTGAGCTGCTAAGACGTGCGTGGGTTCCCAGTTTCTCATCTGATGGAGCCAGAAGTCATGAGATTTCCTGCCCTTCGTGCAAATACACAGTTTTGAGGCAAAAGCATGTGTTTTAGGCTACTTCCAAAGAAAAATAGTCTTCATTTTTTTTCTTTCCATGCAGAGTTCGGCCCCCTCCCCCTCAGCAGCAGCTGTTTGTTGGCACTCTGGCGCTGCTGCTCTTCTGAGAGCTGCCCCAGCTCCACGCGCTGTGTTCCTCACAGTCTCCCTGTGCGGGGTGTGTCTTTGTTTCCTAAGCAGTGCCCCTCTGATTCATGGCGTTGGCAGCCAGCTTCCAGCATACCTCTCCCTGGGATTAAACGTTACACTCCTCCAAGGTGCTGATTCTTTTTTTGCTGGTCTCTAGTCCAAGTCTGTCCACTCTGGCTCATTTGTTTCGATTGTACAGGAACTGCCATCTCCTGTAACGCTATTAGGGTTCTCTAGTTAGAGGCATAGCTGGCCTGTTTGACCCTGCTCGTCCATTCAGCCTGTCTCTTCTGTGTAGTTGGCATCAGAGGTTGAGTGGAGAGCACCATACCTATATCCTGGCCAATGCCCAGCTCTTCTGTCCGAAGACTGAGGTGAAGCTTACTGAATATACCTGAGTAGCCCTTCTATTTTATGCCGTTGGGGTAGGTCACGAAGCTTTTCTGCACTTCTTGTCCCAAACCCAGTTGTACTTTTCAAACCACATTGTGTCCCTGTTTGCAAAGATTAGTCTGGTTCTTTTCCCAGCTAGCTTTAATTCTCCACAGAAGAACAAACTGGAAAAGGAACTACAAAAGCCATTTGGCAGGCTGCTATTTCTCTGTCGGTTACCATGGAAACCGTGATGGCTGAGTGGGGGGTTATTAGATAATAGCAGGAAGTTTGTGATGCACTGGAGGGTTAGATGCCAAAAGCCTTGTTTTTCTACCAGATTACCCTGAGTGAGCTCTTCTTTATCAGCTGAATTGTGCAAGTGTTAGGGGCTCCCTTCCTCCTCCAGGTGATGAGCTGAGGCAGGTTGGGTCTTTCTCTAACCACTCTTGTCCGGAGCACCTCCTAAAGGATGCGTGAGACCCTGTTCCTCTCACCAGGAGATGGTCGTAAAAGCAGGCCTGCTGGTAGAGACCAAGAGCGTTCAGTGAATGGGAGGCCCCAGTGCCTCCTTCGCTAATTTATTAATTCTTTAAATCAGTGCTGGGAAGAGTAGAGTATCAAAAGTCAGCCAGGTCATAAATGTTAATAGTTTTTCCAGAACTTTAGAAAAAACGAGGATTTTGAGATCCAAAACACTATGGTACTGAATGACTTAACTTTGACAGCTAGCTAAGCTTGAAGCCTACAGCCTTTCATAGAGTGCTAAACACTGCTGCTGCGATTCCAGTCATCCAGCCTGCTCTGTGACCGGTCTTCTGATTACGGCACCTGTCCCAAGAGGTCACAAGAAATATCTGAAAGAAAGTATTGATAACTGTGGTCCTTTTAAAACATTCCCTACTGAAATTGGGAACGTCAGGTTTTCTTTCCTGTGTCTGCCCCCAAGCTTGGTAGAAAGCACTTACCTCCCTCCTTTATACTTAAGTCCTTTCACGGCTGGAGATGTAGCCCCACGGTGGGGCATTTGCCTATGCTTACTTGTTTTTGTAAGTGGGAACGATAATTGGTAGTTAGTTCCTAGGAGTAATCACAAAGGTCTCCCATGAAAGTTGCTGCAGTCATCTGTGCGTTTTTAACTTATAAATGGTAGGTATCCTGGTGACTTACCGGAAATTGAAAAAGGAAATGAAGAGCAGTGAAACTGAAGTCTGGGTTTCCCTTAGC